CACATGTGCCCAACAAAATAGGTCAGGAAACAAAAACAAATTTGTATAATATGTAGTAGAAATGTGTTAAACGATCACTGTATAATTAAAAAAGTTTGTAAGTATTGCAATAAAGAAAAATAAATGACTAATCTATGGTTTTTTTATTATATTTCAATGTATTACCTTTCAATTTCCACTTCGCAAATTTTTCCGAAGTGGAAATTGAAACGTGAATAAACGAATAATACTTTAACCTTTAATTCTGGCTTATTTCCATTTAACTTACTAGTGCTGGTAGTAATTATACCAAAATGCCACAAGAAAATAGCTTCAGAACAATATTCGGTAAAAATGTAATTTTCTTTACAATCAAATTGTGGCCTAATCCCATATAAACATACCTGGTGCTTAACTTGGACATGCCACAAAGAAACAGTTTCAGAAGAAATACATACGCTTTTTCATTTACATCCAACCAAAAATATATATGAATAACGCCGGAATAACGGAACTGAGAGATAAAACCGACGATATGTGATATCTTCCAAGTCATACAAAATCGAAAATAAAAATGTTGAGGATAAAAACTATGATTACTGGTGGAAATAATTAAAAAATAAAAATGATTCGGCCAAATGGTTTGGTCTATTCTGAATTTAATAGAAGTACGGACGTTACTTCTTCTTCTTCTTCTTCTTCGCGTGCCATATAAGAATTATCCGACGTTGGCGATCACCATTGCGAAGGCTTCTTGCAATTGTCCTGCAATTGGTATCTGAGTCCATTCACGAATGTTTTTTAACCAAGAAATTTGTTTTCTTCTAACACCTCTACGACCCTCTATTTTGCCTGTAAGGATCAGTTGTAAAATTTTATATCGACTTCCCCTTACTATATGTCCCAGATAAGACATTTTTCGATGTTTAACAGTCTTTAGTAGATTTCTGTCTTTGTTGACGCTCCTTAGTACTTCTTCATTAGTTTTTCTTGCTGTCCAAGGTATCTTCAGCATTCGTCTATGAACCCACAATTCCAATGCTTAAATTTTGTTTTTGATCGATACTTTTAGCGTCCACACTTCTGCACTATACAAAAGTACAGACTAAACATATCAATTAACCATTCTTTGCCTTAGTTCTAAACTGAGATGGTTATTGCAAAGAAATGACTTCATTTTAATAAAAGTAGTTTTAGTCATTGCTATTTTACGTTTTATTTCTATGTTTGAATCTAGTTGGTCCGTTATCATAGTTCCCAAATATGTCATTTTGTAAACTTTCTCAACTTGGACTCCGTTAAATTGAAGCTTTGCATCGGTATGTGGGTCACGACTAAACACTAAAATTTGGTTTTGTTTAAGTTTATTTTAATGCCCATTTCCTCTACTACCTCGTGAATACGATCAAACAGAATTTGAAGACTATTAGCTATTGAAGCAATATTATCTGATAGAATTACTGTATCGTCTGCATATCTAATCCCATTAAGTAGTTCCCCATTGATTTTTATTCCATATGGTTGTCTCTCAAGTACTTTTTTAAATAACTGGTCCGAGTAAACATTGAACAATGTTGGCGACAAAATGCAACCTTGTCTGACTCCACGTTGTATGGGGATTTCATCGGTGTAGTTATCTCAATTTTTACTATAGCAGTTTGATTTCAGTACAAATTTTTAATGACACGAATATCCTTGTCATCTATTCCGATATTTTTCAGTATTTGCATTCATTTTACATGCTGTACTTTATCGAATGCCTTTTCGAAGTCCACGAAACTTGCAAATACATCTTTTCTTTGGTCACGGCATTTTTGTAATAGGATGTTAATCGCGAAAAAGTGCCTCCCTGGTTCCCATAGCATTTCTAGAACCAAATTGGGTATCTTCAAGATCTTCTTCGCATTTGTGTCTAATTCTGTTGTGAAGAATGCTAAGGAAAATTTTAAGAGTGTGGCTCATTAGGCTAATTATTCGATATTCTGAGTATTTCCTCGCATTGTGTTTTTTAGGTATTGCTATAAAGATGGATTTGAGCCAATCTGCGGGAATCACTCCGGTGTTATATATTGAATTAAAAGTCTTACTACTACTTTTATGTTATCATTTTCCATTAGTTTTAGCAACTCAGTTGGTGTATCATCTGGACCACAAGCTTTTCTAATTTAAGCATTATTTATAGCATGTTCTACTTCGCATTTCATAATTTCTGGGCCGTCAGTACAATTTTGGTAGAATTCGGCAATATTATTCCTGTCATCTTCAAACAACTGTGATACAACAACAACTGAACATCTCTGAACAACTCTATACAGCTGCCATTCTTTTCTTATTTCTTGCTCATTTACAATAATTTTGTTATTAGTGTCAACAAGTACAGAGGAAACTCGTTTTTTAAATATATTACTCATTTCTTTCAGTTTTTTGTGCACATCAAATAAGTCGTGTTTAGATATTACATCCTCCATTTCGTCGCACCTCTCTCACATCCATTTTTCTTTCTCTAATTTGATCTCCTTTCCTATTCTTCTCTGCAGGTGTCTATATTCTATTACATTAGATTTTATCAGTCGACGTTGTTGCATTAATTTTAAAATGTTGTCTGTCATCCAGTTATTTTTCTTGATTAAGTTTTTTCTATAATCATTGTTTGTAGAGGTTTCGTTAATTTACTCCATAGTTCTTCTGGATCTTCTAGTTATTCTCCGAAGTTTCTTATTCTATTTTGAAGTTCTTTTTGAATGTTGTGTTTTATGTTTATATCGTCAAAGTTAAGTACATTGCTTTTTGGTCTTGGTCGCTGAATTCGTTTTAACCTTAGTTTAATATCTGCTACGAGTGGTTGATGATCAGATCCAATATCTGCACTAGGATATGTAGTGGCTTTTTTGACGGCATTTCGGAAACGCTCATTTACAAGTATAGAGTCTATATACGGACGTTACTTAGGACATATATTACGAGGAAAAAGACATATCTACTTTTCAGCAATTATTACTAAAAAAAAATAAGATGCAACAGTGTTCTAGGAAGTAAAAATATATGATAAATAGTACATTGTTTACCGGGTAGGAAAAGCTTAACATTCCTGGACGACTATGAAGATTGCTAAGTCGAGGCGCAAGCCGAGACTTAGCAACACAGAGTCCAGGAATGTGGCTTTTCCTACGAGGTAAACATACTATTTTTCCGCAAATTGTTTAAAATTCGACAGATATTAATTGATTTTAAAAAAACGCGATAATTTTTTTCCCAAATAAATGGTGCTTTGAAATTCCTAATAAAATTACTTGGGTTACTATGGAAACGTATTGAGGTTGAATTGTCAAACTTGACGCTTATAAATTTAATTGCTGGTGTTCTCGAAAGTAAAATGATAAGTGATGATGAAATTTCCATTCCTGGGACTCGTCCACAGCTGGTTGAGGCAGTGAATACTGCTTCATTAGAATTATTGCCAAAGAAATCAAGAGAAAAGTACGAAAATGCATACAGACGTTTTATGGATTATCGCATGAGTAAAAATAAAAGTTCTTTCTCAGAAAATGTTGTAATGGCATACTTCCTAGACCTTTGTTTAAAGATGAAATCTTCAACATTATGGGCCAATTATTAACAGCTGTATGGAAATATCATTTCCTTACAGTAAGGAAGTCCTGACTTTTTCTTCAAGAAATTTTGACAGGAATGTCAAAATTTCCTGGCGATTTGCGGAAAAATAATTTTATATTTTTGGCTCTCCTGAAAAGTTACACTTTTTTAGTTGTTTTGCAGCGTCACTGTTCCAAAGGGACAGCGATATAAAAAATCACTTCTTCATGTTTAAATGGCTGTAATCAATCAGTTCTTTTGATTAACTTAAAACAAAATTAAATCAAAAACTAAAATTTTGACAGGAATGTCAAAATTTCCTGGCGATTTGCGGAAAAGCATAATATTCACCAGTGAATGAGAATTCATAGTTGTGAAATGTTTCATAATGCTATTGAAAATAGAACACTTAAATTCTGACTATCTAATATCTCACCAGATAAGGCAATGAATAGTGGACGCCTACACAGAAATGCACGGCATCTTAAAAATTAAAAGAAAATATGTGTTTTAAAATATTTACTGTAACTAAAAGTTTTCTACGAAAAAATATAAGATTCTTATATCTAGTAGCATTAGTTAAAAATGGACCACTATCTTCTTATTTAAATGAAAAGCGGACTTGAGAAAAACATACTCTTTTAAATTTAATGACATCAGCATCTAGGCCGATAATGTAATATAAGTTGCAGAGATTTGGCGCATATTTCGTAACTGTCAATTTAATAATAAAAATGAATTTTATCTATTTATTGCATCTTTTATTCCTAATAAATTATTACCTAGTAGTAGTATTATCTAGTAGTTTTTTACCCGACAGATCTTTATTGAAATCATATGGCTGGCGTTTTGCGTAAAAACTCTTAAGCCGATTGTTCGAACGCTAATCAAAACTTTATTGTAATCAAATATTTCATTAAAATCAAATACGTCACATTTTGGGTTATGTTGACTGATTTATTTTATCCAATTTTATTATTTTGCGTTTTAATTTAAAATAAACCATAATTAAACTCTTAATGTTAACTCTGGTGTTAATTTCATCTTTTTATTTACACATCAATAATAGTAATAAGCAATTTTTAATAATTTTGGCAGCTGCTGTGACGTATTTAATTGTAATTAAATATTTGATTACAATCAAGTTTTGATTAACGTTCGAACAATCGGCCCTAAAGGGACAATCCTAGAATCTTGAACATTCGGTACATAGATTCCGCCCAGTAGTGTAAGCAAGTTATATTTAGAATGGGAAATAGACAACAATATGTAGGTACATATTCTTTTTCTTCCAAGTATATTTCGTTAGTAATTACAGTAAAATTTCAGGGTCTATTCAGGATTTAATTAGATTCTTAATTTCATTGTATTTATTTCACTACATGCCAACAAAAGATTGTTTTGAGGTTGATAGATAAATAAAACTAATTAAACTCAATAGTTTTTACTTATTTATTATGAAAATACTTTAAAAAAATGTATGCATAAGATGTTGCAATAATTTACAGCATATGTACAAAAATATACAATTGGTGATTTGAATTTTTTTGTAATTTCAAATACGGCAGTGATCACATATCTTTACTTCTTTCGTCTTTTCATAGTGTTAAGGTCGTTGGTAACTCTGTAGCAATTTTGCGGAAAATTTACCACCAGCCACCACCACCTCCTCCACCTAAAAGTAAACATTTATTAATAAGTTTGTGTTCAGTAATTAACATTTTCTAAAAAGAGTTTAAATTTTAGGACTTTATGGTATAACATACTAACCTGATTTCCATCCACCACCGCCGCCAGACCATCCACCGCCACCGCCGGAGGACCATCCACCTCCTCCGCCGCTTGGCCATCCACCGCCGCCGCTAGACCATCCACCACCAGATTTCCATCCGCTGCCACCTCCATATCCACCGCCACCGCCGCCGCCGCCGGACCAACCTCCGTGTCCACCGCCGCCGCCGCCTCCGCCGCTTGGAACGAGGATCTTGATAATTTTAACGGTGCTTCCACCGCCTCCGTATCCTCCACCGCCGCCGCCTCCATATCCTCCGCCACCTCCGCCTAGCCAACCACCGCCTCCTCCAGATTTCCAGCCGCTAGATCCGCCACCGGACCAACCACCGCCTCCGTATCCTCCACCGCCGCCGCCTCCGTATCCTCCTCCGCCACCGGACCAACCGCCGCCGCCTCCTGATTTCCAGCCTCCTCCGCCTCCGGACCAGCCACCGCCGCCACCACCGCTAAGGTAGCCACCTAGAATATAAAGGAGTAAATTAGGGATTATCAATAAAATCCTAAGAGTCGAAATAAATTTTGTTTTAGTATTACCGTAAAACTCACTTCAATAACATATTATACCAGTATAGCAGTCAATTAAAAATGAATTACTTCAATCCATTCACTACTGTAATCAATTCCAAAGATCAAAGGTAAGGATGCTGTCTCTTACTCTTATAATTCAAATTAATTAAAAAGTAAAATTATTTGGGTTGAAAATTTGGAACCACATATCAGTTTTAAAAATAACAAAAATACACAAAACAAATAAAAAATATACCGTTCAAGGTGATCTCAAAAAATGATGTACTAGGAATGAAGATAATCGCAAGATAAAATTTTTACGTATCTTTATTCATATTGTAAAGAATCGAAGCAGAACCCAAAATTGAACACAATTAAAGCAGCCTCAAGGGCTATAACTAAACGTAATATTAAAGATGTCATGTAACGGATTAAATATCCAAGGAAAGCTCAACATAGTTCATATGACAAAGCATTATAGGACAACATAGGATAAAGAATTTTTGTGACTTTGTGACTCTGGCATAATCTAGAAGACAAATTTTGGTTATATGTATATTCAAACTTATATAGATGTACTTGTTAGGGTAAGAAATATTGATGGTAGACAACTTTTACACACAGCAGATAATCAACGTATATATATATATATATATATATATATATATATATATATATATATATATATATATATATATATACATATAAATTATTGAAAAAGAGTTCAAATTCGAGTCGTGTTAAAACACCAACTGATCGACCTACCTCTTGCAAAACATATCCTTGGCTCGAATTCATGCAATATTAAAGTAATTACAGAAAAATCACGAAAAGTTATACAAATTAATCGATGTCGCAACACCGGTGCGATGATAGAATAGCACGAACACTATGAACAAGTGCATCTTGGGAAAAAATTTGTAGATATGCAATATGTCCTTTTATGGAACAAGGAATTACAGATGGTACGGTCATTTGATAGGTTAATAATTATATAAGGTGTGTCTGAATAAGACATTTGGCCTGAATTTTATGCGATTATTTTATTCCTATGATCTATACCGGCTATCAGTTGAGAAATGCCTCGTTATGTAAAGATTTGTTATGGTATAACATTTAAAATGATTCAGCCATGCCGTAGTCTTCCTTTATTGTTGAGATTACCACCTTATTGTGTGTATTAACGGCAAAAGATTAATAAAACAGAAAATAAATACGTAGTCTCATTTACAGACATTTCTGACATATAACGTCACCTTACGTTTCCTTGTTTAATTTGGCATGACATCTTTGAAGATAGGCTTTCCGGTTGATATCCGATGTCCTTTCGTTTTCGTCAACTCTAACGCATTCTAGTCCTTGTTGACCACTCCTTGTCCAATAATTTAATTATTAATTTAAATTCTTTCTATTTTAAATTATCGTTTGTCATATACCTTGTCCATATCAATACTTCGCCATTTCAAGCCACCAAAAAGTCATTAAGTTAGGAATTTTACTAACGGAGTTTTACAACTAGTTAATATAAAACTCTAAGAAATTCTATTTTAAAAATTTAATTATGATAGAAAATTGATATAATAACTTCTATTCACATTTACATAACCATAAAATATTGGATGTATTAGACGGCATAAATATGATTTTATGATTATGTGGGTATTTTTAAAGTACTACTGATACTTATTATATAAAGCAAACGAAACTCATTAAACAACTGCAATATATGCAATCTATAAATACTAATTACGCACAAACATCCATAAATCATATTTATTTCTTTCATTGTTTAACAATCATCCTACTAAGATGGGTTTGGAAATCAGTGCTTCCATAACAAAACCAATAGTATTCAATAGATCTCCCCAAAAAACAAATTGTAATTAATCTAACGACATCTTATCTTGTCATGCGACTCTTTGAAAATCTGCACATCTTCATCTATTTAACGAGTTAGGAAAAGGCTAATTAAATATATGTCAATTAAAGTGAGATATAAGAACAGAAATAATTAGTCAATTAGACAAAAACTAGTAGTATTAGAAGATATCATCCAAGGACAGGTGTATACACATGTATACGAAGAAAGAAAAGATCATGGCTGTGTAATAGAATATATCGGATTGACACAACAGGAAATGAGTTAATTTATTACGCATAAGCCAAAAAAATTGTACCATTCATTGCCAATCTTAATTGAGAAGGAATTTAGAAGGACAAAGATATCACTAAAGTATGTAATAAGTACTTTATGCTTTCGACGCCTAATTCCGCTTCTAATTCTATTTCTTAATTGGCTCTTATGCCTTATAAACGTTTAAATGCAAAATATTACCACTCTCTTAAAAGATATTCTTCTTAAAAGTTTTACTGATTTTATATACGAGTATAATAGATCAATATCGATACATACGATCTTTTTGTGGACTTCAAATCTGCCTATGATAGTGTCCTAAGAAATAAATTGTATGAAGCAATGAATGAATTCCACATCCCCGATAAACTGATAAGATTGGTTAAGGCTACAATGCGTAATGTGGTTTGCAAAGCCTTAATACAGGGCGAACAATCACAGGCGTTTGGAACGCATATTGGGCTGCGACAGGGAGACGCGCTGGCGTGTCTCCTTTTCAACATAGCACTGGAAAAGGCGATCAGAGATACCCGAATAGACAGCAGAGGAAATATTTTTAATAAATCATCCCAAATTTTGGCATATGCAGATGATGTGGACCTAGTAGAACACGCAAGCTAGAAGAAATGTATACCACCTTCTCAAATGCCTCAAAATCTATGGGCCTGCAAGTAAATGAGGAGAAAACTAAGATGATGGCATTAACACCCAACAATATAGCCAGGAACATCGGTCCCCAATTCACGGTTGATAACTCTACCTTTGAAGTGGTTGACAAATTCACATACTTAGGCTCCCTGATCACCAAAGAGAACGCCATAACGGAAGAAATCAAGCGAAGGATAGTAATGACAAACAGATGCTATTTTGGACTGAGTAGACATATGAGAAGTAGAAACTTAAGCCAAAAAACAAAAATAACTATATACAAAACCCTTATACAGCCACTGTTGACATATGGATCGGAGACATGGACCATCTCCAAGGCAGACGAAGACCTTTTGCTTATATTTGAACGAAGGATCCTGAGAGGAATATTTGGTGGCATCTGTGAAAATGGTGTTTGGAGGAGGAGATACAATTACGAGGTATACCACAGATATAAACAAATATTTGGTGGTAAAGACGTAGTATCTCTTATAAGAATAGGAAGAATAATATGGGCAGGACATCTGGCAAGATCACAGCAGAACAACCCTCCTAGAAGAATCCTTATGTCACAACCCGTGGGAAGTAGAAATAGGGGTAGGCCAAAACTCAGATGGAAGGATGGTGTAGATGAGGATGGTAGAATGGATAGGACTGCCTGGCGTAATAGACTTGGGAAGGTCGAGGCTCTTTCATAGGGCACCATTGATGATGATGATGATGTATAATAGATCACAAAAAAAAAAACAAGTAGAATCATTTATAAGTTTCAATATTTTAATTACTAAGTACAAGCTGATCCTGATCACCAGATGGAAATATGAGTGTGTACAGAAAATATTTAAAGCATCATTTTATATAACTAAGAATTTTTTAAGCGAAATCAATATGTGGATGAATCTCAAAAACTGTAACGATTACACAAATGAGTAACATGTATTCAGATAGTAAACACCTCTTACTTCTAGAATCCTTCGAAATATGAGTGTGATGAATATCTAGGAACTGAATAAGTAACTAACCTAGCGATTTTTTTAAATGATGGTAACTAATATAAATAATTGATGCACAAGTTTGAAGAACTCGGTAACAAAGACGGAAGCAAAACGCACTGTAGCTACTGCTTAGGAAAGGTCGTTTGCACAACTGTATGAAAGGTTGGAAACACCCGAACCAGACATCAAACGTAGAAATGAAAACTATGTGGGACGACTATTAGTTGATGGTAGATGGATGAATGAAAAAAAGGGGTAGAGGAAACCCGAAAAGAATATGGAAGGACGGTGTAGCAGAGAACTTAGAAAGAAAGGTTTAGGTGAAGAAGATCCGATGGACAGAAATGAGTGACGATGAACTGTAAGGAACAGCGACTTCTGAAAAGGGAAAAGCCGTGGAAGAAAAAGAAGACCATGCTACTTATATACTATATATAAATTAAATACAAAAGAAGAACCAGAAAACACTGAACACACAAAATTACAAATAGTTGTAAAGAGCTTACTAGAAGAAATATTTTATGTAATTTTAGGAAGATATTATAAAAAATTGTATATGCACACCTAATTTAACAAACTAGTATCAAATAATTCGAGAAAAAATAATGAAAAACCTATTAAAATCAAATTGCCTTATTTAATTTAAAATTTAATATATTTAATAGTATAAGAGCGCCGAAACATATTATGTGGATAATTAATCACCCACCTGTAAAAAATATACAGTTTTAAAAAACTGGGGCCTTAGAAGATTTATATCTGAATAAACTATTCTTTTTCAAGCAGAGAAAGCAGATATTTATTTCTATTATGCAACTGAATCAGTTCGTGAATGATAAAAATATTTATATACCTGAACAATACCGACCGTCTCTACCAGAAATAGATTCAAGAAAGAATACATTAACACTTTCCATATTTCTTAAACATCCAAAACATTGTTTCTTTTTAACAGAGTGTTACTTTGTGTTATTAATTTATATTCATTAAGAAAATATGTATATGCAGACACATTAAGACGAATGTACTATGCAACAACTTTCGTGTCTTTGTATTTTTAATTTTTATTTTATGTAATAATGAATAGTAAAGTCGACAGTGTCGTAGGTCATTTTCTTAAAATGTATTTCTGTTGTGTGTGATAAAAATCTTCCGTAGATTTTTAAATTTGTCGAATTAGAAAAAGTTTTTTTCTAATACAAAAGGTATACGTTTGTATGTAGTGGATTTATTATTTAACTATGTAATATATAGGATATAATATAAATATGGTATTTCTAGTTATACCTAGTTCGTTTTCTTCTGCATTTATTGCTGCAATCTTTGTATTTGAGTTCCTAATTGAATTGAATATTCTTCTTTTTCTATTGATTATAATACATATGCATTATAAATAACTTATTCATTTTGACTTTATTGACCATCCACCCATCCAATGACATTACAGCCCAAATCGGGCCTTTGCCTCCTTCAACAAACTTCTCCAATTATTTCGATTTACCGCTGTTCTTTTTCATGAACGCGTTCCCAGGCAGTTCCTGGCATTGTCATCGACTTCGTCTTCCCACTTCTTTTTAGGTCTTCCAACAGGTCTTTTTCCCTGCATTTTTGCATTTAGTAATTTTCTGGGGATTCTATTCTCATGCATGCAGACCACGTGCCCTGCTCACCCTAATCTCTGCAGTTTAGTGTATTGTGCTAGAGTTCGTTCGCTATATTGCTCGTATATTTCTCTATTAAACCTAATTCGTCAGTTGTTGTTTTCACTTATTGGTTCCAGTATCCTACGTAATATTTTTCTTTCAAACACATCTAATGCATTGGCAGATTTCTGTGTCACCACCCATGTTCCACAACCATAACTTACTATGGACCTGATTATTGTTTTATAGACCCGGAGTTTTGTTTTCCGGTGTACGTCTCGCGATTTGAATATGTGGCCCATCGCAAAATAGGCTTTATTTGCCAGCACAAGCCTTCTATTTATTTCCGGTTCTTCTTCATTGCCTGCAACCAGATCCATTCCTAGTTATCTGAATCTATTCACATATTCTATATCGTCAATAAAGTGTTGTTGCGCTAGTCTATTTGATCTGGTTTGTATGAGTAGTTGTATTTTATTTGTATTTATTGGTTTTGACTTTATCGACCGCTGATCTAAAAAGTTTGGCAGTAGTCAAGTTAAACCACTTTCTTAGGTTATGCAACCAGTATATTCTTTCTCTTCCTGAACCACTTTTTCCATACACTTTATCTATAAGTATTGTTTGAAGTAGGTCTTATCGTTGTTCATTACACATTATATGGCCCAGTTATTCCAGTTTGCGGCGTTCTAAGGTTATGAATAATTCGCATCTTTGACTTATTCTGTGTAGGACTTCTTCGTTCGTAACTTAGTCTCTCCAGAAAGTTACTGTTATATAATGCCTTTCCGATCTTTATCTTAATTTCCTCGAGTTTTTCCACTGTTCGTTTAAATTCGGACCCACATAGTACAATGTGGTAAAACAATAGTTGGTAATTTGTGATATAGGTAGTTGGTTAACTAATAATCCTCCATGTATTATCCTATTTCTTTGTGTGTTTTGTGTTAAAATCAAGCCCACACCTGCTACTTACTTCGGCCACCCTTGAGACAAGCGTCTGCAGACTACTAGACTGTCTACTAAAATGACAGTGTCATCAGGATATCTTTTGTTGTTCAGTCGTTCTCTATTTATAAGTATTACCTCGTCTAGGTAGCGTTAGATTCATAATGTACTCTAAATATATGTTGAGAATAATATTGGGGACAGTACATATCCCTGTTGCATATTTTTTATCTTTATATCGTCTGTTAAATGATTCTTAGATCTTACAGCTGAGGTTTGGTCATAATAGATATTGGTTATTAGACGGCGCTAGACCTAGACTAAACCAATTGATTTAATATTTCCATCAGTTTGTCATGTTTTATTTTATCGAAATTTTTTTGATCACAATAACGTCACATAATCCAAACCAGTTTCGCCTAGACTAAACTAGTTCTTCCTATACATGATATAATTATATGGTATAGCCTAGTATAATATAATATAATAATAAAAGTCTCCCTATTATAATGACTGTGTTATCATCAGACCAATATATAGAACTCGTTGAAGATGCAGAAAAATCTAAAAAAAGACACTATCACAAAAAAGAAGATTCACTCCTGGGCTAAAAATCGGGACGTGAAAAAACTGATTCATTCGGAAGTCAATAGTGCCAAGTAGATCTGATCGATTTTCAGTCACAACCAGATGGAAATTTTTAATAAATTTTCATATTTAAATGACATATTTCTATCTATAAGAGCTCCATGTATTCTTCAATCTGACAATGGTAGGGAATTTGTCAATAATATTATAAGTGAGTTTGCCAGTATGTGGCCTGAACTGAAAATTGTGCACGGAAGCCTAGGCACAGTCAAAGCCAGCACTCCACTGAACGTACCAACCAAGATATTGAGAATATGTTAGGTTCTTGGATGGAAGACAGCGTTTCAACGAAATGGTCAGAAGGCTTGAGATACGTCCATTCGTAAAAAATCACACCTACCATTTAGGGACAAAACAATCTCCGTACAAGGCATTATTTGAAATAGAATTCACAGTAGTACTTTAAACTTCCTCTTTGTCACAAGGAATCACAAATAAAATTCAGGAGGAAGATTTTTTAAGGAAGGTAATAGAAGATAATTGTAATGTTAACCTAAGAGAAGACAGGAATGATAACGTTAAAGAAGTTAGTAATAAATCTTGTGAAACAGGCTAAAAAAATGTAAGCAACTTTTGAGAAGTCTCATCCACCAGCCAACATTAGAAATACTGTGACTATACCGATTTCAGGTGTTGACAAAGGTGAAGATGAACTCAGAAACATCATTGAACTTATTCTTCAGACAAACGACAATGATTTTTACAAAGTTAGCACCAAACATAGAATACTTTCGAAACTATACTGCAAGTTTTCATTTCTTTACATAATAATTTATCTATCTTTTTGAAGTTTTAATGTAGTTAATAAAATTTTAATTTTGTTTCAGATCAGAGTTCGTCATTTGCCATCAAACTTTGTTAAAGGTAGCAGATGTAAATCAAGATTCTGAAATACCATTATCATTAAGGGTTGCAGCTACGAGGCATCCAGTTGGATCAGGACAAGGTATTGTCATATACAACTACAACAAAAAGTATTCCACAAAGAGATGAAAGTACAAGAAGGCAGTGATATTCTGCAATTCTAACTGCGTTCAAAGCACAATATAATTATTGAAGAATAATTATTACTTAAAAAAAAACCACTTGGCATTATTTGTTACAATATGATTGACTGTATTAGCAATTGTCTATTATGTTTAACGACAAATCATTATCCTTTTAATAAAAATGATTATTTTTCCAATTACGGAGTATTCTATTCAGTTTATCTATTTATTTTGACTTTGTAGATATATTGTTATGTTTTTACTAGGTCATACTAGTTTATCCTGAAATGTACGTATTTATATCAGGATAAACTAATTTGGACTAGCCTAACCTGGTTTATCCTATCGGGCTTAGGATGAAATAGTTGTACTAGGCGATAGCAAATAATCATATCGTGTATAGGAAAAGCAAGAGATAAGTAGACTAAGAAGTATTGGCAGACCAAAAAAAGATTTAAAAATAAATAATTTAGGACGCTAATAGTAAAGAGAAATGGGCTTTAAAGCCTACATACAAGAAGGAAGAAGAAGCAGAAGAAGAAGAAGAAGAAGAAGAAGAAGAAGAAGAAGAAGAAGAAGTGTAGGCGAAAACTAGGCGAAACTAGTTTGTCCTGAAATTGGGTTTGGCCGGTAATAGAAATATCATACTTAACGTATCTACATCATTTAAAGGATTAAAAATAAATGGCATTATTGGTATTACTCAAGTAAAAAAGGTAATTGAAGTTGCCGGCCTCATACATTGCTAAAGATATCCTTATATAGAGATTAACAGGAGCTTTGCTGTTAGATGTTTACACCTAAGAAATCATATTTGTTGTTGAAATACAAACTTATCAATGTAATTTTAATATTAATTATTATAGCCATATTATAGCCATTTTAATGTAAGAAAAATTACATTAAATAAAAATTTTTAACGGATGTTTGACGTTTTGATTTCCACTACGGAAATCTTAAAAAAAAAGAATATTTAAAAAAATTCTACCAAAATGTATAACCAACAAGTTGCTGAAAACCAATTGGTAGAGGAAGAAAATAAATATAATAAGTATCATGCTAGAAATATAAGATAATACTATACGTAAAAAAACAAGAAACTTAGACCAGTAGGTCTGTGAGCATTTTTCAATAGATGATAATGGAAATGACCCTCTTTATTTGAAACATTAAAACACAAGGATGTTCTACTAAGATGATGTTCATAAACTTGTTTAATTTATAAATATATATGTGTGGTTACTTAAAACCAAAATATTATAAAACAATGTAGAAAATACCTACATTAGACGTTGAAAGTAATGACCCTAAGACAACCATTAAAAAGACATTAAGTGCCAGAAAAAGCAATAAATAATAAACACTAAAATTTTGCATCATGTGTAAGGAAATAATAAAATGGGCATATTCAAACATTCTCGCATAAGAAAGAGCTATAAAATGTACAAGATTTTTCAGTTTTAGATAAAAACCATCAATGACTTAATCACAAAAAAGAAGATTGAAACGATTTGCTGTGCTAAAAATCTGGATGTGAAAAAACTGATTACATGGAGTCAATGTAATATAAAATACTATATTCCATCGGATTAACTGTATCATGTAATTCACGCAGCTCATGTAGAAAGCCACGCTGGTCGTGAGGAGATGTAAGCCAAAACGATTTTTCAGTTTTAGATAAAAAATCATCAATGAATTGTTTTGTTTGATTTTTTATTAATAGCAACTTATTTTATTTTTAACAGCGTATTATGTTCTTTTTTGTGTTTCAGAATTTTATTCTTGAACAAAAAGAAATCGCGTAGTATAACTATTTTATGTAGAAGTATTATCGATAAGAAAATGCTAAACAAAAAGGTAATTTAAAAAATGCATTACCGTATTAGTTAAGTTCTTTTTCAAATGACAAGCCAACCACGTAACGTGTAAACAGTTAACAAAATATTTTGCTATATAAATAAAAGAATTTAAAAGGAAACCGCGTTTTAATGATAAAGACCATATAAAAGTGTAAAATAAAGAATTATACAGGAAGTAAAGTGGACGCCAATATTGGAAACAGAAATTGTATGAAACTAAAAATTCACTTCAGATTTAAAACTTCCAAAAATAACATATCACATATTTTTATATGAAATTACTAGAAAGACAAAAACTTATATATTTTTGAAAAATATTTTTGAATTATTTTTGCTTACCTTGTACATAGCTGGCTGCAGCAGCCACAACAAGCAGACAAACGAAAGCCTAGAAACCGAAAAAAAAAAATTAAATCACCATCACTAAAAATAAACAACCACAGTTTGTTTACCTTCATATTTAGTCCAAAAAATAGAACTAACTAGACTCGTACTGTTGTGTGTTTTTATGGGCATATATATATTCAAGAGATTGGAGCCTTGGCCCCCTCTATTCCACCAGCCCTCAAACATTTGCTTATTTCCATTTCCAGCCCCCCATCTTTCATATTTTTTAGCTAATTACTGTGGGTGATTACGCTCTCTTCGGATGATCCCTGAGACGGCTTCAGCCCAAACGTAAATAAAGAAGATTTGGTATCTAGATACCAATATACCAATGTTTAATTCGCTGTTCATATATATTGTTTCAATATTATATATAATACGACGATTTTCAATGTAATTTAAACTGAGGACTAAAACTTATATACTCAAACTTTAAATAAAGTTTTATGTTTCAATTACATCGGCTTCGGACCATTTCCATAGAACATTGTAATACTGAATTTTAAAATCAACGTATGTCATTTTAAAAAATTTAATATAAATGCAAAGAAAAAATAAATACAGCTAATATAGTTCATAAATATGTTAATATAATATGTTAATAAATAGTTCAAATAGTATGATTGTTAATCACTTTATACCGCTAGAGTAGAGTAAACTACTATTTATAGACCTATGACACCATGCAAATAAACAAACTGGAAATCAAAAAAATACTGGTAGAAATAAATAAAAACAAGGCAACTATTGAAATAACAACCTTGCAAATCACAGAAGTTAGTCGAATTTTTAATGCCGCTAAAAAATCAGGTAAGTAGGCCGATTATAGCAGAGCTCTTACTGACACTGAAAATCATTGCAAGGATATGAAAGAGACCGCAGAAACGTCAAGGCTCCACAAAGGTCTTTCTAACAACCTAAAATAAGTATACCATAACTTTAAAAGGAGTAATATGAATTCAATGGCGAAGAGACCCAGAAATACCTTACAGGGTGCACTTTCCTGAATTCGAATCCAAAGATACAACTAGATATGTGGTAGCGGACTGAACTAGATAACAGACTTGGGGGTCTAGAAAAACTGGCGTATGGCTAAAGAAGTGGTAGATCAGAAGCAAATCAAATGAGTAATAAATTTATTGGAGTCACTTAAATCACCGAGTTCGGAAGGGGAGCTCATAAGCTTTTATACCTAAACCTGGAAAATCTGGACAGGAAAGATCTAAAGACTCTAGAGAAACTTCAATATACAAATTGGTGATGGTATATATAAAAGGAGCAATCGACAACACGTACTACTAAGCAACCATAAGGGCGATTTGTTTATAAAGAATAGAGGAAATCAACTGCACATGGATTGATTGCATGCTGAAGAGCTATTTGATATACGTAACGTAGCTGTGGATACAGTGTCAGTACAGGTTACCCTAAAGACTGCCCTTAAAGCGGTCTTATCTCCTCTCTTAAGGAATTTGGTAATGGATTGGTTTATAGACTCAGGAATGACAAATATTATGTTCTGGTCAATACAGATTATCTATTTATCGTAGCCCACGAAAAATTAAACAATATTAGGGATTGACCGATGCTCACAAAAGTTTAAAATTTTCCAAAATATAAATCTAGTGAGTAGACTCGAGACCTACTTCAAATCAGAAGATAGAATGAATAAGCAAGAGAACGTTAACTATATTAATGCTAGCTAGACCACCCATTGAAAAATGTGGTGTTTAAAACCAGACATCATTTAAAGAATGGATCTGAAAACAACATCTCTCACTGAAAAAGTATATCCAGTCAAGCACATGGCAAAACTTATGTTTAATGAACATGCTTTAATGGGACTGAAATACTGCGAAAAATATACATGAATCAGCTCAAAATCATAACAGGATTCCTTAATGAACTTGCGTCAATCAATAACTTCATACAATGGATAAGAAGTTTTTGTTTAAGAAGGAATTAAGTTGCAGGCTTTATTGCTCAAGATATGAGACAGATAACTATATTTTCCATTACTTCAACTTGCTAGATCGAATGCGGCAAACACTTTTTGGACGCTACCAATTGACTCCAAAAACCAATAGTACCCCATCTACCCATCCGTAGGACCTTTACAAGCTGATACAGGAAATGTTACTAGAATGATAGAATGGGCATCATGAATAGAACAAATGTACGCAATGAGTCAATAGGCTGCAGTACGAAGCGAACATAAGAGAAGTCTTCGAAAAAAAATAATAAAAATGCAATCAAATATTCTGTATACAGGCGCAGTGTCTAAAATAATAAAAGGTAAGCAAATATCAAGAGGATTAAATATTACTAAAAATCATACAAGTGTGCTGCTTATCCCAACTGCTTTTAGGTGTATATAGAGAAATCTAAAAAGCTGTAAGCAAAACTATAGTGCAATAGGAGATAATAGCATTTTAAATACGTTACATTATGCGGACGACCAATAGTAATAGTCCAAGATAAAGAATACTTAAAATATATGAACAGAAAATTATAGGAAAAGTACAAAAATCTACATACGCATTATCATTGATATCTTAAGAATTTGACGATAAATAGAGTTTAAATGATGAATGTGTTGCTTGTGTGAGTCCATTTCAAATAGGTAAAAGAAATAATATATAAGACTTACTCACAATCAGTTTAATTTAACTATCTAGACGACCGGTTTTGCTTTCTACAATATGCAAAGCATCTTAAGATCTCGATACAAAGTTAATTAAATGCTGAAATAATAAAATCCATATGAGGGTATTGTCTTATAAAGATAAACAAAGATAAATAATATAAATTGCAGTAATTATGCCAATATTACATGTCTGTGGTTTTTCAAAATAAATAAACTGTTTAAGCAGACAAGGTAAAACCCACAAATTGGTATAAAATAGTAATTGTAATAAATTAGTAAATAAATAAAACGTTACTTACATGCCGGTACTCTATTAATTAATGGTTAGAAGAACATGGTTCAAACTATCCTGTATTGCTAAATGGGGTACTTTAGTTCTAACGATTATAACTGTTTGACAATAAAGAACTTCCCTGTTTATTGTCAAACAAATACAATAGTAAAAACTGAAGTTCTCCATTTAGCAATACAGGATAGTTTGAACCATGTTCTTCCAACCATTAATTAATAGAGTACCAGCATGAAAGTAATGTTTTATTTATTTACTAATTTATGTAGTAGTAATGATACCTCCAGTAATAATCAAAACGATCGAAAATATCTACCAAAACAATACAATAAAAGTAAAAGTAGAAGAAGAACTAACCGACCCTATTAAAGCTGGCAATAAGATAAGACAGGTAGATTCTTTATGTCTTCTCTTGTTCACATTGATTATGGATGAAATAATAAAAAAATTAAGAACTAAAAAACGATACCAAATGGGAAAAAAAACAACTCAAAATAATCAGCTATGCAGACGACGTAATACTACTCTCTCAAAGTTAAGATAATTTACAACGTATGCTGTGCCAATTTAATATAACCGCCAGAAAATTTAACATGTTAATTTCTCTAAAAAATACAAAATGCATGTTTACAACAACAAATTTACTAAGATGTAAATTGGAGCTGGAAAGTCAGATAATAGAACAAGTAATGGAGTTTAAATATCTAGGAGAAAATATCACATTATCTAGCTACGGAAAGCTCGAAACTGAAGTGGAGGATCAAGAGAATAGAGCAAACAGAGACGCAGGCTGCCTAAATGAAACAATATGGAGAAATAAAAATATCGGGAAAGAAACGAAAGGCAGAATTTACAAAACAGTCATCAGACCAATAATGATATACGCGGCAGAAACAAGACCTGACACATAGAGGAGAAAAAGGATGTTAGAAACAGCAGAGATGAAAACACTTAGAAAACTTAATAGTAAGACACTATGGGACAGAGCTAGAAGTACAGATATACGACGTAGATGCAAGGTCTAGAACATCAAGAACTGGGTAAAAAATAAAAGAATAGAATGGAACGATTATATAAGCCGAATGGCAACAAATAGAGTAGTAAAGACGATAACAGACGGTTCGCCAATAGGAAGACGATCAGTAGCAAAACCACGAAAAAGATGAAACAACAACTAACTGGTGGCACATTGAAAAACAGACAGAGCCATGTCTATATAAAAAGAAGGAGAAAGAAAGAAGAAAGGTATTTTTTTGGCAATATATCATCATTTATATGACCAGACCATCGAAGTCCCTGGACTCTAGCAGATTCTTAAATATTTTTTTGAACTATTGGTAAAATTGATGGTTATGTTAAGATCTTCGTATTAAATTTTTTTAGAGTTTTACTTTTAAAAACTTCTATTTTTTAGTATTCTTATATCGTCCATATCTTACATCCATAGCATTCTATTGTCTAATGCGTCTCTCAATGGAATATGTCAGTCAGCAAAAAATGGGTTTTGGTGCACTTATCTTTTTTATATATTTTGTCCCTTATTGTAACTTAACGATTTCTTTTTAGAAATTCCATATCCGTTGCCTTTATTTTGTTTTTATTATGTTTACTTATGACTTTTAAAATGTCTTAATCAGTATGCTTCTATTATAGTCAAGGTGTTTCAGTCTCTCATGTTTATTGTTATAGCAAATCTTTGTTAAGTATTCGATTTTGTTTATTTATATAAAAAAAAATTGTACATTAAAAATTTTTATTTAGTTTAACATTATGCACATTCATTTAATGGGTGGACGTCAAATATGTATATATACATATATATATATATATATATATATATATATATATATATATATATATATATATATATATATATAATATATATATATATATAAAATCACGACATTCTTTTATTAAATATACAACACATTGGCAATCGCTGTTACATGTTACACATTTCCTCCTCTAAATTCATTTCACACTAGGTACAAATTGTAGTAATTGTCACATTGACATTAAAAATTTCAAACGAAGTTCTGAAAAAATAAACAAATAATTAATAAAATGCCTATTACGTTGTATACCGTCCCAGAAAAAGTGCAACTTTTAACATGGTACTTTCAGGGTCATTCGATACGCGAAGTAGTTGATCCCCACCAAGTGTTACAACAGTTAAAAATACCATTAAACATTTTCAAACTTCGGG